TCAAACTAGCATTGTCTTGCATTGTACAAAACGTCCTGGGGTTGACTTCAACATAAACTCATAGGGGGAGGGGAGAGTGTAGCCCTCAAAATTTGTCTCCTTTTTATGATGAAATGAAAAAAAAACTACAATCATTTTCGTAAAATAAGGCAAAGAATCCCCATTTGAAATTACCACATTCTGAAATGATTTGGCCGGAATTCATTCATTTCTGTTTACCAAGCAGACAGGCAAAACTTTTGTCTCAAAAGGACAGTCATTGAGCTTTGAGCATTTTCCCTTCCATCTTGCCATGTAGTGTTGATCTTGCCCTACCAAGGTTACCACAGATCAAAAAATGGCCAGGGATAGAAATTTCAAGGTCAGGGAAAAGTCAGGGAAATTAAAGTTTTTACACCACTGAGTTTCATACCATGCTGGAAGAAATATTTCAGATGATCTCAGCAATTTTTTAATGAAGAAGAGGAGACTGGACATTTTGTATCCATTTCATCAGGGAAATTTTATTTTTATCATGGATAGGTCAGTACCTTAATAGTCAGGGAATTTTGGAAAGTTCTGTTTGTGGCAACCATGCCTAACCTCTGTGTATCTCTATCAACAGTGTTAGAGTTAAGTCTAAAATGAATACATAAAATACTTGGGGTTGTTTAGGATACAAGGAGAGACTTAAAGAAGGCAAATGAGCTGCAGTTTATTATATGAAAGGGATAAAGTTTACCAATAAATCTATTAACATAGGAATTACAATTTCCTCGATTGTGATTAGTTTTAAAAACTCCTATTTTCCACTAATTCACTTGCCAAGTTGTTGTTGGACAGTTCAATAAGCCAAATACATTCAAAGTTGTAGTTTAAGTCGACCAATCGCATTCAAAGTTGTGGTTTAAATCAATCAATCACAACCTTGGTTTCAATCACCATAGAAACAGTGTACAGATTCCTAAATTGGGGCTTTCTTCAAAACAGAGAATTGGTTTCTCTTGAGCAATGACAATATTTAAGTGTTCTTTTTAATTTGGAAATTGTAATTTTTATGATTGATTGGTAAAGGACTTTGTGTCATTCGTTTCGGTCTGTAATCATACTCGTGATAAACAAATTATACTCCCACTATGCAGTCGTCTGATTTTGTTATCACTCATATGATTACAGACCAAAGACCACTCAGTCCTATTACCACTTATTACACAATCTAGCATGTGAATCTTATTAAGCTGACCAGCTTCACTTTTCCTCTGTTTATTACTTTATTCCAGATTAGAGACAGGAATACAAAATCAGGACCACCCAGTAGCAAATTTGCCACTGTTAATTTAATTGATCCATCTGAGCTTCAACCAATCAGTGAAAAGGAATTAATACTAGGACAGGGTTCATATGGCCGGTGCATTTTAAAATCTTTAAAAAGATTAAACGTTCTTGTGGTAGAAAAACAATGTCTGATGCAAAGCACTAAAGAGATGGTAAAGGAGGCACAAATCATGTAGACTCTCACACACAAAAACATTCCTGCAATAATAGGAATCCAGCTTGAAAGAGAGCCTATATCTCTAGTGATGGAGTTCAAAGGGGAAGAAAATACATGGACAACAGTCAGTAAACTATTGTATTGCAAAGAATCCAATGGTATATTAGAGAAAGTTAACAGTTCACTGACAAGCAAAGACTGGCTGATCATTTGTCATGATATCACAGATGCTCCCACTCACATTCACTCCAAAGGCTTTCTTCATTGTGGTCTCAAATCAAACAATGTTCTTGTAACCGATAAACATGGCCAAATTATAGACTTTGGAAAGGCCTGTGACAGTTCATTTCCCCCTGCAAAGAAGTACACTTTTCACTATAGGCACATTGCTCCTGAAGTTCTGAATGGCACCCATTGTAGCAAAGCCAGTGATGTTTATTCCCTTGGCCAAATCCTGCATGAAGTAGCTACAAAGCAAGAAATTCCAATGTTACTTGTCAATGCTCAAAAATGCTTGGACAGCAACACCACAAGGGGACCAACAACAACAGGACTAATGGCATCACTGGCCTCTTTAATATGTAGCCTTTAGGGGAAGTCAGGAAGAAAGGGGATAGGGGTTAAATGAAAAAAAATTGAATTGAGAATGATTCATTAGGCTAGTAAAACAACAAGGGGAGGTTGTGCTCTTTCCCAGTATTTACTTTTGTGAAGATATTCAAGAAGTGTATTGCTGGATGGGGATGACAACAAGAGCCACCTGGCTTTTTTTTCAATTAAGGACCTTCCTATACACAATAGTTATGACCAGTTTCCCTACTTAACAACATACTGTCCTATAACATAACCTTTCTTGCTAGTGATGAAGGCCTCACCTTGTAGTTTAGGTTGCAAGAAACTTACAAAGTCACAATATGTTTCTCAGCAATGTTTCTTAGCTTTTTGGCTATGCCAAGTCCAGTGATGTACATGTAGAGCCTGAAGATTGCCCTTAAGTTGTTAGATGAATTGATTAGATGACAATTTTCTTCACCGACTTTATAGCTCTGATCAAGGAAAAATATATGAAAAGGTTTTGTCTAAGATAAGCTTCTCCTAATTGTTCTCACAGCAATAACATTCAGAACAATCAAAACAAAAAGACTTGAATAAGTAAATAACTAAATGAATAACTAAATGAATAAGTAACTAACTTACTTACTTAAATATATACACATTTTTAAAAATTAAAGTCAACCAGAGTTGAAATTCAGTTAAAAGATATTTGTTTCTTGGTGACAGTGGCAGCTATTGTGTTAAATTATAGATGCAAAAATTTAGCAAGTGTTTAACTCTAGCAATGTTTTCGTCAGAGGAAATACTTGCTAATAATGATCCACATGTGAAAACATGAAAATCATATTAGGCATGTAATTTAGCCTCAATACTTTTCTTTGCACCATTTTGCAGCCTTTTTTTAGATCCCTAGCCCATAGAATTTCATCACCTCCCATCGCTTGGGGGCAACTAATGGCTATGGATAATTCTGGATCAGCCAAAATGACACATTTTTGCTAGTTTGCTGATTCCTGTCAACAGAGACAAATATTACCTTGAGATGATCAATTTTGGTTGGAAACAAAAAGAAAACTGCATGTAGGCTGCTGGTGGAAACCCTCTGTATTAGTCTGCCCTCTTCCACAGTTAGCAGCGGGATTAGGGAAAGTCACACCACAGTAAATTAAAAACAAAAAAAAATAATCACAAAAACAGTTCCAGCAGCACAGAAAGGCCACAATGTTGGATGGATGGCCAGGTATACAATTGGAAAATAAATTGCAAAATGTATACCAGCATGTTTGTGTTAATCCCATATTATGAAGTATGAGTTGTTTTCAGTAACTCAGTGTCAAATTTTATGGTATAGTTTTCTGTAAATTATTATAATAACTAATTATCATCATATTGGCTTTCCATTGTTAGACATTAATGCCAATTTCTTGACCAATTGGAAGTAAAACCAAGTATAACTTGTTTGCATATCTAAAAGTAAATAAACAAAGTTAAAACTGGGTGGGTTGCCTTGAGAACCCATCTGTTCTGGTGTGTTGTTTTCTGAGTTCTTAGAAATAAGTGCACACTATCTTAACTCTGGTATAATTTTGAATATCAGAACCCTGAAGAGTATCCCTTACTAACAGACCTGGTGCATAACACAGTAGTTTGGGTGTGTTTCTATGTGACCAAATGATAGGCTTTGACCTGTTTTGAGACTTATCCATGTCAATGGTACCGTCCATCTAGTGTGTAAACATAGTACTTTTAAATGAATTCAGTAGACTTGTTCATTTGATCATTATCATCTGCCACACAATTGTGTTCCCTATTACAATAGTGTTCACTGTGAGATCTAGAATAACATAAATGTAGGCAAAAATGGTATAATAAATTATTTGAGCCTAAGCCTTCTTGTAGTTGAAATATTGGGAAAGAAAGGAAGAAGAAGAAAATAATCAAGAATAGAAGAATTAGGCATATGCAAGATAACATTCTGTTTCCATTGTTACTTTAGCAAATCGGTATTCCTATTGTGAAGATGTCACATCTTTTATCAACAGGACTGCCAAGATGACTCATCTTTTTGCCAGTTTCTGTTTGCTATTGTAACAATAACTCTTGCAGTCCACTGGCAAAGGCCAAAAATTAACTTAGGAATAAAACAAGGATGCTGTGGCTCAAAAAACTTTGTATTAGGACACTTCCAGCTTGAACCTAGGAGTCAGCATTTAGGCTTTGAGTTTAAGCAGAGACGTTTCCCTTTTTCTAAAATTTATGATCTATTTGCAAGAGAAGGATACCAATCTACTTACTTTTCTGTCACGGTTTATTGATCTCTGTTAAAAAAAAAAGATCAATAAACCGTGGATTTGTATTTTCTTCGTGAAATGTTATGGATCCTAAGCGTCAGATTTTAAGTACACCTTTTGCGGTGTAAGTACACCTTTTGCGGTATAAGTTTTTCATTAACTCTAGAATACATTATATTAGTGTTGATCGAACTTTCAATTAGGATATTTGAATATGTATCGATATTCAATAACGTTAACTGACAAACAAATGCGCGCTCAGGACGCAATGGTTTCGCTTCATGCAAACATATTTGCCACGTTGTATCAATAGAGAAGTCATAGAAGGATAAATGTCGTTTTAGTGAGAACATTTTTTCACGAACAAGTAAAGCGCCATCGATTGACTTTTTTCTCTTATCATTTATTTAAAACATGCAATTCATGTCCAGTCACCCAAGAGAATGTTACATTCATGCTAATGCACTAGTCAGTGGAAAGCCCCGCACCCCCATACCAGGGGAATGCGGGTCATTAGCGGGGGATTTTAGCGGTTTTTAGTGGTCATCTTTGCCCCAGTGTGCGGGGTGTTCGACAATATTAGACACAAATAACAGCGACCGGGGACCGTTAGCGGGGCTTTGGCGGGGATTTCGCTTTTGAATAGGCCTACAAAGAACACTGGGAAAGCGTATGATCTCAAAATGGCGGCCGCCAACAAGAAGGTATGTACGATTTAAAATCCATTCTTTTCATGCTTGTAATGGGCCATCGATTAAATTCTGTGTTCAATCTCTAAATATTATCATGTCTTGTAGTGAAATTAGAAAAAGTTGGGTATTGTTTATGCCCTCGTCATGCTTGATTAGCGATTTATTTAGAGCGTTGACCTTTTGTCTTTTGGCACTTGTTTTCATTTCCGTTGCAACTGTGCAAACCGAGCCAATGGGCGTTTTTTTTTAGTCATTTACACGTCCAGAGAAAAGTTTACAGAACTATGTCTTACCAAGAGGAGTAGAGGAAGCCATGATTGTTTCATCTATTTTATGAAGACATTGAAAAAGTTTTTGTAAGAGCTAAATTTGAGGCACAATTCTTGAAATAAATTAATTTTGGTCAACGTTGTGTATTTGGGATTTTTCAAGTATTGCCCCGGGGGCGGAGTACAAAAATGAGGTTTTGACATAAGAAATTGCCCCGCATAGCGGGGAATTTGCTTCATTTAGTTGGGACGCCTGGTCTATTGCCCCGCTATTCCCCGGGTATGGGGGTGCGGGGCTTTCCACTGACTAGTGCATAATGCTTTTGCCCTTCGCACAATAGATTGTCAATGTTTATGATAATTGCGCAAATGAATTTTCTATTCTTTATGAATGCTTGTCAATAAATGCAATTGTTTGTCGGTTGGTGTTATTGAAGTATATTTTGATGTAAATGACTATAAAGTTCCCGCTCAAAATATCTGAGCGCGCATTTGTTTGTCAGTTAACGTTATTGAATATCGATACATATTCAAATATCCTAATTGAAAGTTATTTGAAAGAAGTCAGTATCGCCGCAAACGCTAATCACTCGTACTTCAAACTTTACTAGAACTAACTTGACAAATTGTTGAACACGGTAAAAGACGATTTATAACTGAATTCCCCCCGTTTGTACGTCCCCGCGAAGTCCAGTTAGAGTGCATGAAAACCTTATCGTCACAAGATGTTGACACTTTACTTTTTTGATGCTGATTATGTACATTGTTTAGAACAGTTGTAATGCAGGGTGAAGTTTGTTTTTGAATGAAATCATACATTTTCTTTTCAATGCATTTCACGGACATGAAAGATATCGGATTGATAAAAAAAGCTTAAAAAGGGTTTTCAAGAAGTGAATTCTTTTTCCATGTTCCTTGAGGAATCAGACTCGTATACTGCTCTGTTTCTTTCCATTTATCCTCTTTAACATGTAAAGAACTCCACGGCCCCAGCGTAAACTGAGCGTTTGACATGAGATTTATAAATCTCCTCGGGATCGCTCAGCAGTTCCTCATCGACATATAATAGCTTGGATTGTATAGGTTTTCTCGGTGTCTTAAATTTTAACGAAAATTTAAGACTGTCAGTCATTTACTTATGTGGGAACCGTGAGTTACGCTATTTCTAAGTATTCTGAGCCAACGTAAACCGTTACGGTTAAATTTTCGGTAATTATTCCTTTGGCACTTTTCGGGATCAAGCTCTCGTAAAATCTGCATGACCATGTCTCGAGGAACAGCAGTATCGTAGCTTGTTCTTAGTTTGTTCCACATCGCACGATTTGTCAGATTCTTCGTACACGTTCAACGCGGACCCACATGATCTGTCACGTTGTTATAAACTTTTGTTTTGCAATTTTATGTTTGTGCAGTGCTGACCTCTGATCTGAGCGATTGACATTTGAAACTAATTAGCATATACAGTAAATGGTTTGAACCCGGGGGTAACATGTAATAGTGTAGTTTGATCGTCCGGGTGAGTGTAGTCCTGAGAAGGACTGTTGTCGGTAGTGGTGACTGACGTTTCGACAACTTGAGTGGAAGTCATCATCAGAGTCAAGTTAGGTCGTTCTATTCGGTTCGTTTGTAATGTTAATGTCGTGAATGAGTCGTTTGTATGGTGCCGGTGTCACAGCGGATTTGGACCCCCCCCCCCCCCCCGGTCAGTGGCTATCGCTGGTGATATTCGCAAAGCATTTCTTCAAGTGCGTATCCGAGAGCAGGACCGAGATGCACTGCGGTTTCATTGGTTGGAAAGCAAGGATCCTTTTCGTGTTCGCACGTACCGATTCACCAGAGCTCTGTTTGGTTTGGGACCCTCGCCGTTTCTGCTTGGCGGCGTAATTCAGCACCATCTGAACACTTGCAGACCTACACACCCTGATCGCGTAGCAGAAATCGAGCGAGAACTGTACGTTGACGATCTCATTTCTGGTGGAGGTACTATCCAAGAAGCGAAACAAAAGAAAGCTACAGCAACTGAGATGTTCCACCAGGCCACCTTTCACTTACACAAGTGGCATTCAAACGTGACTAAACTAGAGCTCACTGAAGAAACTGAAACTGGGGATGACTTAAGCTACGCCAAGCAACAACTCGGAATCAAGCCGAGAGAATGTGGGCTGCTTGGTTTAAAGTGGAACAAACTGACGGACGAAGTTGGAGTTACAATTCCAGAGGAAGTTGCCCAACCGACAAAGAGAGGGATTCTGGGAAAAGTGGCGAGGATCTATGACCCCCTTGGTCTTATCGCTCCAATCACCCTGCAAGGAAAGCTTCTGTACCGCGATGCCTGTGAAGAGAAACGTGCATGGGACGCTCCGTTATCCACCCCCCTAGAACAGCAGTGGCAGAAGTGGGAACGTTCCTTGCCGCAACACGTAACTTGTCCACGAGCACTTACCAGCGTCCAAGAACCTATCGAGGACATTAAACTTCATGCTTTTGGAGACGCGAGCGGAAAGGGCGTGGCCGCTTCTGTGTACGCTGTGGTCAAACAGTCAAGCGCAATCAACCAAGGCCTGGTTACAGCAAAGGCAAGACTGGCCAAACAAGGGCTGACAATACCTCGCCGCGAACTGGTCTCCGGTCACATGGCTGTAAATCTTCTGACCAACGTACAAGATGCACTTCAAGGATTCCCTGTGACTTCGCTGCATTGTAGGCTTGACAGCAGCGTTGCCTTACATTGGATACTAGGAGGAGGAGACTATAAGCAGTTTGTGGCCAACCGGGTACGAAAAATTAGAGAACACTCTGATGTTGTCTGGAGGCACGTACCTACTCAGGATAATCCTGCAGATCTTGCTAGCCGAGGTGGACTGGTAACTGAGGAGAACCAACTGTGGTGGAAGGGACCAGAGTGGCTAAGTGATCCTGCGAAATGGCCAGCCGACCTTGTGACCGCGCCCACCGCTGAATCTAACGCAGAAATGAAAGCTACAAAGGAGCTCTTTGCCATGGCCGTTAAAGCTGATGACGATCTAGACCATCTTCTGGCCAAGCACAACTACTGGAAGACTTTGCGAGTGTGCGCTTGGATTATGCGGTTCGCAAACAACGCTAGAGCGAAAAGAGCGACAAGAACAAAGGGACCCCTGACAACAGACGAAATTGAGAAGCAGAAACACTTTTGGTTGCTACGCGTACAGAGCCGGGGAAGTGAAAGCATGGAGGAAGATCGCCTGTGCCTAAACTTACAGAAGAACAAAGATGGATTGCTTGAGTGCCGTGGGAGACTGCAAGGGGTCTATCCGATATACATCCCAGACGCCACAACGTTCGCAAACAAATATGTCGAACACGTCCACAAAGCCACTCTTCACGGGGGAGTGGGGCTTACTATGGCTAAAGTGAGAGAAGAGTTCTGGATTCCCCGCCTGAGGCGCCTCGCGAAGAAAGTCATCAGGGAGTGTTATGGGTGCAAACGCTTCCAGGCTGTTGCTCTCGCAGCTCCACCCCCCGGTTTATTGCCTCTGGAGAGAACTGAGGGCTCAACTCCCTTTGAAATTGTTGGCGTAGATTTTGCTGGGCCGATTAAGTACCGCAAGTCCTCTCGTGTAGAAGGAAAAGGCTATCTGGCGCTCTACACGTGCAGTTTAACGAGAGCCTTGTACTTGGAGGTCCTGCCTAATCTGGAAACTACTACCTTTCTTTCAAGCTTGAAGCGTTTCATCGCTAGACGTGGACGACCTTTAAAGATCTTTTCAGACAATGGAAAAACGTTCGTAGGAGCGGCAAACCTACTGAAAGGAATCCAGAAAGATGAGCAAGTTCAAGGCTACCTTGAATCGGAGAAGATTATCTGGAGGTTTAACCTAAGTCGAGCACCCTGGTGGGGTGGCCAGTTTGAGCGACTAGTGGGCCTCTTCAAACGTGCATCCTATAAAGTAATTGGTGGAGGAATGCTATCCTGGTCAGAGCTGTGCGAAGTCGTGCTGGATGTTGAAACTCAACTAAATCGCCGCCCCCTGTCCTATGTAGAAGATGACGTCCAGCTCCCTCTACTCACCCCATCTTCTTTCCTATTCCAAAGATGTATTCGCCTCCCTGAACAAGAACCATGGCGAGAGGAGACAACTGACCTACGAAAGCGTGCCAAGTATTTGAGGTCTTGTAAGGACGCTGTGTGGAGACGCTGGTCTCGAGAGTACTTGGCGGCGCTCAGAGAGCGTCACAACTGCAATGGAAAAGGCAAGGCGAGGCCCTTAAAGCCTGGTGACGTCGTTCTCATTCGTTCAGAAGAAAAGAACCGAGGAAAGTGGCCATTAGGAGTGGTCGTTAAACTATTCAACGGCCGTGATGGAATTGTACGTGGAGTGAAGCTGCGCGCAGGGAAAACGTTTCTGGAGAGGCCGATTCAACACCTTTATCCCATGGAACTGGCATGCGATAGAGCGCCGGAGAGAGCTGAAGTCCTTACCCCCCTGAATGCTAAAGCGCCAGTCTTTCGTCCACGGAGAGATGCTGCGGTTGCCGCAAACTTGCGTATTCGTGACGCTATAGAGAGTGAAGAACTTTAAAACTAAACGCAGGACAGAACTGTGCGGATGGACGGAGAATATAAAGTGATTTCAGCGAACTTTGACATTCATTACTTTGTTTTGTTTTGTTTCTGATTTCAATTTAATAATTTAATTAAGCTAGCCGTTTCCTCTGTTTACATGTGCTTCCGTTTGGAAG